TGGAGGAAGCGATTGTAACACGAGCAGGTAGACCCGTCTAGTAGTGATGAAGAAGACGCCGGACGTTCGGCCAGTCGTAGACGGCGCGATGGAGGATTGTTTGCAACGAGACATGGCGACATTGTAGAGAACGAGTATGGTCTCGAGAAGGTGTGGGCTAAGCGCTGGATTAATTAGGCTACATTCTATCTGTTGCAGTAGGAAGGCTACCATGAACTGACCTGGGAGCCTGTAGCCAACATTCCGTGGCAAGCGATTCGTGAGTTTGAGCGAGAAACTATTGAGTCCGTTTGAAATACCAGTCGACGCGGGGGCGACGACGCAAGCTGCGAACTGAGCGCCCACGTAGGCGTAGTGCGCGATTCAACATTCATGAGTGAGTACCGGGTATGCGTAGTACTACTGTAGTAGCACTGAGATATCACTGCATCACCGTTGTCTGATATTTCTAGTCTTTTCTTAAGGAAAGCAGTGCAAGTATTGTTTTTATGGGTTGAGCCGGTGTACAGGTTGGATGGGTTAAGCAATAACCCACCCATTTCCCATATTTTGCGTGTAAGGGGTGGACGGTGGGTAACCCCGGGGTAATCCAACCCACTGGAACCCAGCCTACACGTGGTTGTTAGAAGAGGAGAACATTAGCATGGACTTTGTCCAAGCTAGCATTCTTTCCGATACATCTGACAAGCGGTTGGCAGCGACCATGGGACGCTTCGATTTCTATCTCGTCACAATTGACGGTAAGAAAGGTAAACTTGCACGTAATACTGCGACTTCGTACCATAGAAATGTAAAAGTGTGACTCAACGACCAGACCTATGTGTAGCCTAGACGTCACATTCCTTCCATCGTGGAGGAACGCAACATGTGAAAAACGACGACCGTCTTGCTGCGCAGCAAATCTTCGATCGTGACGCCTGGGATACGATGAAGAAAAACAAGACCTTCGCCTACATCACTAACACAGCGCGGGAGGACCGGAAGGTTGCCAGGGTCTTGAGCGGGTGGGGGCTGAGGAGAAGCGGACGTCGCTAGATGTGGCAGCTCTCGATTATGCTAGCTAGGGGCGGCTAGGTCGCTTGTAGTGTTTTCTGTTTTAACTCCTGCGCTGGTCTTAAAGAACAATAACTAAACGTCAGTTCAAAGGTTATGTGTATTTTCACAGCGTACCCGATTCGATCCTATCCGCAGTTGAAGAACCTGGTGCCTACGGCTCCTATCGTCGTGCCGGTGGTGCTCGAAAGTTGCTGGTATCTCGATCGTCGACATGCTCGGATGATCAATGGCACTACACAAAGAAACTTTTCAACCTGTCCAAGATCAACAAGAAGGACAAGATGCAAGTAAATACTTATGCCCAAGAATGGACGTCCTTCTCGTTGTATTCTGGAGGTAATCGCAACGAGCAATGCTCTAGCTGCGCGTCTAACGATCCTCGATGCAACCCAGATAAAGCATACAAACAACTGAAGAAGCACCATGGATACACATCCCGCAGAAGCATTAGAGCAAGGTCCTAAGACCAAGCGATAAAAAAAATCTCCTTGCCGCCGCTTGGTACAAATGGTTGAGGCGAATGCCTCTCATCAGAGACTTATGTGATCACCAGAAGATGTCGGTGTTCCGCCGCGTCGTCGCCTTCACGAAGCTCTTCCTCGCTCAAGCCTTTGCTCTGGATACTAAAGCGGAGGTCTACAAATGCTAAGATGCCGGTCGCCGCGCTGAAGACCCGCTACTCTCTCGTTTTTTAAGACACGAGACACCGACGCAGAGTGCGCGGGAGCGTTCTGCGCGCACTACGTCCACTGCACAAGTCGGGGGGGGGGGGGTTACGGACTCAAAATAGAAGACTGGGATACTAGCCTTCTTGTCGGCAGGGTTTTATTCGTGGTGCTCTTCTGTTGGTAAGGTTTTAATACCGTAGGCCGTAGATAATATCTATTTGCCAGTATTTTGAGTTGAGTTTGTAATGGTTGAAAGATAGCTTTTTATTAAGGTCCCTCTATGAATTCGCGGCCTGAAATGCACATTTTTTGATCCACAATAGGGCTAAAGGGCTAGCTAAGACGAAAAAAAAAACCGTTTGCTTGCTCTACAGGTTCTATAGCGCATTTACTAGGCGCCTATGAATCACCTTTCGACAGCTGACTGAACTCGTCCTCCGTTGTGCGAAAGTACTTAATGTGATTCCCACACACCTGGCTTTATGTTGTACCAGCTCGAACTTTCGGGGAATGTAGGGCGGTTGCGATATGGATGAATATCGCTGTGGTACCAACCTCTATTACTCTTTTTTAAAATAAGAAAATGGACAGTCAGCCCCCAATGATACCCATTGTGATGGTATCAAGCCTACATCTTACGACAGCTCCTCCAACCCGCAGCCAACGTAGTTGGCAGGCTCCCTGTTCGACTATAGTTAAGCAGATCTGCAACAAGGCTCATTGTTTATCCTGCTGCAGGATAAACTGCAGGATTCCTGCAGTTGCTGCCGCAGAAGACAAGCAAGGACACAGATGTTGTTACTGGTTGCCGTTGGGTGCAATCAGTAAAAGTTCCAAAGGCGACATCCCCTGGACTGCCGAGGTGGCAGGCGGATGCGAATTAGAAAAGATAGTTCACTTTACAATCTGCATCAAAGCAACCAACACTGTTCAATACACGTTGGTTTTCGGGAGTTCCAGCTCCCAAATCGCGAGCACGTCACATCCATTAACAATTCTCATCCATCAGTAATGGCAAACAGGGGAGGAGAAGTGGTATCACCGACGTATAGTGCGGGCAAGCAGAGCATCACATTTCAGCATCAATACGAACTGCAAGCTCGTCTTGCATAATTCGCGTATTTGCCCCCCTGTCGAAATCGGAAGAAACCAGTATGAGCCATGACGGCATTCTTCCAGTAAGCCCCAGTGCACTCGGTAGACACAGCTATCGACTCATCTGCGCGGTTCCTAGCGGTAGTAGAGTCTCGATAGACTTTATCGCTGCTTCTATCCTCGGTGACGCTAGTAGATCGGTTTTTTGTGTGGAGATGGCGTATCTCTTTGGAGTCCATTTACCGTTAGCGAAAGAACGAGGGTGACGAGGCACTCCGTCACGAGCTACAACCGCCATGTCAAGAGCTGGGTGTTGGAGACCTCCCGAAACATCTCGTCGCCTTCGAAAACAATTTGCTCAAGATGTGATGCGCGTTTGGCCGCGCCTCCTACTTGGAGTTTGTCGTCAATGGCAATGTGTCTGTTAGAGCAAACGGAGCGGTGTTTTTACGACTAATTCGTGTTAAGACATCTGAAAAGAGAGGAATGCTCCCTTTCTGGCCATGAAAAGCTACACCACATGCCCTCCTCACGCTATCGCAAAGACAGTGGTATTGCAAGATCTCCCATGCGCTCAACTGCTTGACCATCTGCATCTCGCAGCATCCATTGACCCTCGCAGTCTCGAGGTCCAGGTTCGGGCCTACCGGCAGCGTTTTTTTTTTTTTTTTTTTGTGCTGCCCAGAGGTTGACATGTCGGACATCTCGTTGAATCTCACTTCTGTTAATGCAAGTCCGCGCTTGTATACATTCTGGCTACTAATAATCGAAGTCTCTACGGCGCAGTAGTAGTACGTCGAGTTGTCAACGCAGAGGTCGCCATTCAGTGGCGCCAGTGATTTAGTGTTTTGTCTTTGTACTGACGTGTTGTGACAGTGCTCGTTGTGGCTTGTCCCAGCGTTGCTCTCGTGACTGAGTGCAGAAACGCTGTTTCTACCCCCCCCCCCCCCCGCCATGCATATGTCATCGCTCCTATTAGCCATGTCCATGTGGCCAACTTGCCGTGATAATAACTTGTTCCTCGTAGCCGCACACAGTATCGACAGGGCTTGGTAAAATTCAATAACCGTAATAATAACTGGCAATAACTTATTGCAATAACTAATTGGCCCCCAATCCCCAATTTCATCCAATAAAACATATACTACCCGTTTAAAAAAATATACAATTGGTGGTTGGTATTCGTGGAAGTTTGCGCAATTCGCTACAGGAGAGCACTTCATCACTTCACTGGTTGGTATTCGTGGAAGTTTGCGCAATTCGCTACAGGAGAGCACTTCACTGGTTGGTATTCGTGGAAGTTTGCGCAATTAGCTACAGGAGAGCACTTCATCACTTCACTGGTCGGTATTCGTGGAAGTTTGCGCAATTCGCTACAGGAGAGCACTTCATCACTTCACTGGTTGGTATTCGTGGAAGCTTGCGCAATTCGCTACAGGAGAGCACTTCTTCACTGCCATTCCGCAATTTGCCGAAACCAGCACAAGCCCATCATTCTACGCCGCTCACCATGTCTTCAATCGCTCCGAGATCCCTTGCCACTGCCCTGTTTGTCCCCGATGGCGACGAATACCATCAGTGTCGGATCTGCTTCTCCCGTCGGAAGCAAGTTCGTGGCACTGGGTACACGAACCTGGTGGAACATCTCGTACGGTGTCATGCCAACACTTACGAGGACGAATTCCGGACGATTCAACGGCGAGAAGGTAGCCTCGACGCTTTCGTGAAGGGCGATGAATTCTCCAGGACAATTTATCACTGGTTGGACTGGATCATCATGGAGAACCGCGTACTGAGCATGTGTGAAAAGGTGAAAACGCGGAAGTATACTCGTTTGAACCGAGTGAGCGTGAAGACGCTAAAGAAGAACATGTTTGGGCTGGAAGGTGTCGTTCAAGGACGGATCAAGTTGCGGCTGCGTGGCAAGAAAGTCGGCTTTGCTATCGACGCGTGGACCGAGGACGGTACGCATTTCGTGGCGGTCATCGGTGTAACTGAGATCGACAAGTATCTTTTGTGCTTTTCGACTCTGACGGACAAGTCGGACATGGGTTTGGACGCGATTATCGAGCTGCTTGACGACGTCTTAGACACATACGAGATTCATGCCTCTCAGCTGTGCTTCTACGTGTGCGACCACGCGTCCGGCATGTAGCAATTGCAAACAAGACTCTGGTTCCAATGATAGGGTGTGCTAGCCACCGATTCAACTTGGCCGTCCAAGCCCTCATGCGCGAAGACAACGATATATTGGATAAAGTCCATGCGCTCATGGTCAAGTTGAACACAATCAAGAACCGGCACCATCTCCCCAAGGCAACATGTCCATGACAGATGGATGCGTACGTCAGATTGCCGCCTTGCACTTTCAACAAACGAAAACCTGAGATCTAGCCAAAATGGATATGCGCATTGGAATGGGGAGGGGGGGGGGTTACCTGGAGAACCCTCCCGACGCGCCCCACCTCCCCGAACGAACACCAACTCAAATATACTGATCGTACTGATGGATACATTTTTGTGATTATTAAAATACTGACTAAAACTACTAGTAGTAGAAATTACTAGTACGAAAATCACAAAGAAAATCCAGCTTATCAGTCCGCGTTTTCTTCTTCTCGAGGTCGTGTCCGCTTCTTTCCGAGCTCAATTGCCTCCGCAACCGCACTTGCATCCCACAAACTCCTATTGAACTGCAAAAAGAGTATCGTCTCCAACGTCATTGGGTTTAGACTTCGGCGCAGACGTGAGAACACAATTCCTGCACGTGAGAACAGCCTCTCCACGTCGTTAGATGTAGGCGGGATCCACTTCAGGTTCTCTCTAGATGACGTCACTTCCTCCTGACTCAAGGCAACCTCGGCAAAGGACTGATGGGCATCTTCACCTTCCTCCTGCAGTTCCGTCGCCACAGTCTCGGAGGTATGAAGGAGTTTCACTACAGCTGCTCGTTCTCCTATTCTCTTTGCCAGCCATAAGCTTGACGACCCCGTTCTCGAAGTCGGGGAACTTAACCAAAGAGGCCGTAGGTGACAGGTACAACTCCGTACCAGGGTAATGTTTGATGACATGATCAAACAGAGCCCGCACATCAAGCAGGGACACCGTCGATGTTTGTAGCTTCTTGTTCACACTCTCCAAGTTCTTGAGATCTTCATACAGAGCCTTCAATCGGACATTCTCTCGGGGGGTGGGAATGAAGTCCACCAATTGGTCGTCGATGCGGTCCAACTTCGAATAGATGCGAAAATAGCGGTCGATCATGGAGAATGTGCTGCTCCAGCGTGTTGCATTACGATAGACGGGCATGAGGGCGTCTTGTATTGAAAAAAACTGACCAATAACACCATTATTAATTGGCGTGGGGTCTACCTAGCAATCAATGTCATATTGGATTTTACCAAGCTCTGAGTATCGATAACGTATAAGAGAAGATTCCCGCGCGACGCCGAGGTATCATCTCTCTGAGAATACCCGAAAACGGCGTGCGGGTGGCCCCGCGCGAGCTGTAGGTCATGATGGACGACAATATGGTCTACCATCCAGCGGTCCGCCATCTAGCGAATACTGTATCACGCTCCGAGTGATTAATTGACGCTGGGTCTTCTGTTGATACCTCAACGTGGCTAAGACTGTGGATCAGCGTCAACACGCTCGGCTTGTCTGTAATCACGGCTGGGTGGCAACGCTTGAGCCGCACGACGTACCAAGTCGGGTTAAGTCGCAGCGACGACGAATATGAAGCATATAGGCAAAGCCAAGTGTCTTTGGCACAGCGAAGAGCCCGATGAAAAGCGGGGCCAGTTTCTCGAGCCCAAATTTGCGAATGATGATGGCCGAATGCCTTCGATGGATATAATCACACGATCACTATCCTTGACGAATACAGGTTTTTGCGGTCGGGCTTAGCTGCAATCTCGTTTTGTTTGCCATTGCGTTTTGCAATGCAACCCATCCGAGTCGTGATATTGACAGGCGTTACGGGCTGAAGTCCGAGACAGCCGAATTGTCAGCACGTCGCGCCAACGGCTTCGGTGTGCAGTTCCTTTGACGCGCCCAGTTCTCTCGTCTTGATGGAGCTGGCCGTAACGATATCTGGACCAAAATTTAGCCATTAGTTTTAAGAACTAGATATCACAACAGCTACAGTAACGGTTAGCTACACGAAAATATTTTGCGTGTAGAATGAAAAACCAAGGGCTGTATTGACTAATTCACGCTACTTCATGCTCGAACATGCACTTAAAACGGCCTGTCTACTCTTACATTACATTACAGTGGACATGGGTTGACATTTTATCCTTCAAAAGTGTGATTCTCTAATAAGGCGACCGAAACATGTGTGCTATTTCTGTGATTCCAATCGACGTACATGTGAACATTGGGGGCGGTCTATGATGTTTTAGCTTGAGTTTTATAGCGAGAAGCACTTTTGGGCCGGACGAATGTGCCGGTTTAGTGGTAACTATTGGACAACGTGCACTCAATGCACCCTGTGGCTTATTCTAAATCTGTACATATTTGAAACAGCACAAATAACAGTACAAGGATCTAAGAGGCCAGTTTAAAACACAGTACATTTCAAACACAAGTGGTAGTTCGAGCATGGACATTAACTCCACGTAGACAGGCTCAAGAACATCGACTTGCGGAGTCCTATGCGGCCTTCATAACCATTACACCTCAGAAATCTGCTCTAATCGCGATGGAATCGCTCTTCGATTCGCGTCAACTGGCAAACAAATGAATCCCTATTTCTTGGCTGATTACACCTCTTTCCATTTGGAAAATTCAGGACATCGTGTCCTGCAATCAGCAATTTGCTCGGTACAAATTCTGGATAATGACTATTCTGAGAAAATGTCAACCGGGTTTATCAATGTTCAATGTACTAAATCGTGAAGAAGATATCTTTGTTGCTCTAATAGGTATAGATTGACAATGCTTTTAGTAACTCTCACCTGGATCTCATCGTCTCATAACTGCCAATCAGAGGCCTCTATTCGATTTAAGTAGCACATTTTATGCATATGTATTAGAAAAGTAAGCCACCTCTGGAGGTGGCGGATTCCTTAGATATTTTCAGTAGGAATTGATCAATCGCCTGTACCAATTCATTCCTTCTCAAAGCTGCTTCAGCTACCCACCTATCATATATAGGAGTATCGATTGGACTCATCAAGACTGATACTCATCAAGTTTGAGACTCATCAAACGACCCCATCACAATACGGAGTTGTTCTAGACGAACCTCTCGGTAGTGATACTGTAGCTTCGGGGAGCCCATTTTTAATGCTATCAGGAGATGTATCTATCATGACTTGTACCGATTTTTCGGTAAATAAAGCAACTATACTAGATGAAGCTCCGACAACGGATTTCTCTTATTTACTATAATACTAGCAGAAGCAGAGAGACTAGCCTAATACAATGATAGGCAGTTTCTGAGAGTAACATACTACTACACTTCAGTTATTTTAATATAGTACTATGGTCGAGAATTATTGGGGACAAGGGCACAATCCTTCGCGGAGGTCAAGTGTCCAAACTATTGTGCCTTTCTGCCAAAATGCCCTCAGTTTTATGTCCTACGTAGGAGTGTGGCCCTTACGGAAGACCTCCTATCTGATCGGGTGCTTCCGACTAAAATTTAGCCTAATCCTTTGACGAATAAAAAGACGATGCCAATCAAAGAAAAGGGGTGTTGCTTTACATACTCGCGAACAAATTGTTGCACTTCAATCGGCCATTTAGGTGACCGCTCATTCTTTGGGGTGTCGTCGACATTTCCTGTTTTCTTGAAGAGTTGGTACCATCTCCGAAGGCTCTTGGCCGAGACGCCCAGTACCGGCAACTACGCTGATCTCAATATTGTAGACATACTGCAAGACAATGCCACGTCAGCGTATGTCTGATGAGTAGCC